AGGTTCAGGTTGTGAAGTTGAACTTAAGGAGGTAGATCCTCGCAGGAAATTCTTACGTACTAACAGAGCATGTTGGTCTCCATTCAGGCTTCCTACCAGACCTAATAGGAGGATCTGGAATCTTATCTGTCTCACTGTGTAGCTAAGAAGAATCTCCATATGCTGAGAGAAACTCGCCTTCTGTACTCCAAGCGACCAGGAGCGAACAAAGCCATGTTGCCTTGGTTGTGTTCTCTCCTTGTCCCTCATGAGCCATGGCAGCATTTTTCTGGCCTCTTTCAAATGAAACAGTCCAAATGCAGATCCTCTGGGTAATGAGTTGTATTTCCAGAAAGAGACCAAGTTTTTACCAGCCTGTTTTTGAGCTCTCCTTTTGCTAGAGCTTGTAAAAAGATCAGAACGTGTAAAAGGCAATCTTGCTTTGATCTTTAAAGGATGTAACGTGCATCTAGTAAAAACAGATGGAAGGATGGGTTTGTGAGCCTCGAATGCCTGAAGGTCTTAAGGCGTGGTTGAAAATGAAACATGATAAACGTGGTGGTTTCTCTCAGAGCTAAGCTTATTTCTGCTCATACTGTGGGGCTGATATAGGAACAAATGAAAGTTGAGCTGATATCTGTTTAGTGCTTTTGTTTGTAATGTGTGATCTGGTACTGGTCTGATGGACAGGTATTTTAATCAGAAAGAAGTGGGCATCTGTCAGCAATTTTAGAAATCCAGCATTTGTTTAGGTCTTCCTTCAGAAACGTGGAATTACATACTTGTTCCCAAAAGCTAAAGTGTGCTTGTTGGAAACATAAATGTCATTTATCATTTAAGCACAACTGTAAGTCTGCTGCTGGGGCCTGATGCATTTCTGCTTTGTGAGCACTGATTAATTTTCCTTCTATCTTTGTTCTTTTTAATTTTTTTTTAGAATCCAAAATGATTGAAAAGCACGGAGGATACAAATTCAATGCTCCAGTCGTGCCAACTTCGTTTAATTTTGGAGGCCCTGCCCCAGGAATGAATTGAATTATCACTTTTCCTGCTACTGTGTGATTGTAGTGAAGAGCTTGTGTTCCTCCCAATAGTGGTTCCAGAATTGGTTCATGTTATCTACAGCTCACTCTAAACTAATTGATAAATAGATTGGACAAAAGCCCCAGATGTGGGACCTGATCATGCAGTCTAATACTGGAAAGCAAACTAGAGGGTTTTTTTTTTTTGAAGATAGGAAGAATCTGAATATAAAGCTTCAAATGACACACTTTGGAAATCGGAAATCAAGAGGGATGTCATGAAGGCAGCTTTTCTTTTTCTGAGGAAAAAAAATAGGCATGGGCTGCAGGACTATTTAAAATCTCATTTACAGTACAAGTTAGGAGGCAGACTTAATTTTTACACCTGTGGCGGTATGAGTATTTGCCCAACTTCCCTTTTCTCCCTTCCTTATTTGGGTGTCTATTCTTTCAGTGTAAATAAGGTAATCAAATAGCCTTACTTAATCTTCATCGTTTCCATTTATCAAGATTGTTCATATGTAGAATATTGGACACTTAATGTAGCACTACATAACTGATAAATCTGTAAATGAATTAGCACTTTCATATTGAAACAAGCCTGCTAGCCTATGTACAAAAATAGCAAAATGTTTGCTGTTTATAAAAAAATAAAAATAAAAAATAAGGGATGTATTGGGGAAAATAATTTCAAGTTATTAATTTAAAATGAACTAGCAGTTTTGTACCTGGTGACTTTGTGGTGCAGTCACCTCTGGCTGTGACTTGAATTCGGTTCTGTAAAAAAGGGGTTAGTGATATTTCATTGCTGCTAAAAAAGAAAAAAATAGCAACACCCTCTGTGTCCTTTGTTTTTCTTAAAGATCTCACTGTACGAGTTACAATTTGGATACAAATGTTCGTTGTAAGCACTGAGAAAGTGATCTTTTCTGAAGCATGTAAATTAGATGTGAAGTTCTGCTCTTAAATGAGTTGATTGAAGTGTGCGGATGAAACATCTATATATGCAATCTATTAAAAAAAATAAGAATTTGGCTAACCTGGGCTTTGATCTATGAATGCAGTTTTTCCCATAATTCTGCAAAACCTTTTTTCCCCCCCACCGTGGCAGTGCGAGTGCACTGCAGTGTTAATGTACCATCGTCTGCCTGATCCAGACAGTGTATTTGAAGTTTTGCCAATCTTCCATTTTTGAAGCCACAATTTTCTTCTTTCAAAGTTGCTATAGTAACTGGTATTTTAGCTAGAGAGGCGAAATACAGTTCCCTCTGGGACCACTATGAAAACCACTGTATGAAGAAGCCAGCAGGGAGATGCTGTGAATGGGTTGGCTCACATGCCCCCTCTTTCTTTTCTTAAAGCATAAATCCATAGGTTTTTGATCTTGCCTTGAGATCATTGGTGTCAGGTCTTTTAAATCAAATGTTTTTTTTTTTTTTCTTTTGGCTGTTTTTATATTAAAATGTCACCTGCTGTTACAATTGATATTAAATGAGCTACCTTAATTTAATGTAAGCCTCCAAAATTTAAATACAGGTTAAAAATAAACTGAGTTTATATCTGTAAAAATGAAATGCACATATATATATTATGATACTCAAAATGCAGTCTTCAGAAAATTGGTTTGTGTGGTGTGTTTTTTTGCATCAGCAGCATAGCTGGAATTGATGTGGGGTCTCCTTGCTGACTGGCACAGTTCTCTTGGCACTGTTCTCTGCCTTCTGTTTGTTACAGGACGGCTCATGCTGTGCTGTGAGCCAGGTGCATGGGGCTTTTGCACTCCCTCCTCTCTGGACAGCCTTTCTTAGGTGAAAAACACTTCCCCGCAGAGTGCTGGCGTGAGAGGCTGAGGCAGCATTATGCTGTCACTTTGCCCTATTGGGATACCAAAGCAGTACTTGAAGTGAAGTGTAGACTTGATGGATATTGCACCTGAGGTGAAAAAGCCTAAAAAGTATTGAATCCAAAGTATCTGTTACATGAGTGCTATGGGAGCCACAGGAGTACTTAGTGAGCCCTAAGCTGTCTGGCTGAGTACATAGAGCAGAACTGTGCTGTATAGAATGCGTAACTCCTGAGCACCCACAGGTATACTCTGGCCTCAAGCTCATCTCTGGACAGTTTTATCTTGTAGGAAAAGGTGATGTATAATCGCAGAATGTTTTTTCCTGTGCAGTCCTCAACCTTGAAAAACTCTCAGTTGGACTTGAATCATTTCTGAACATCTGCTTGTTGGGTATCTGCTTATCTCATATACTTCCTGCCCTGCCAGGAAAGTGAGAACGTTTTAGGGCACATGGTGCTTTTACCTCAGGGTAAGAGATGTGACAGCAGCAAGAAGGCTGCGTGTACAAAGCAGATGGAAAAAAGAGGGAAAATTACCAATTTAGTGCCATTCTTATTTCTGAAACTAATATTTTTCCACATCAAGGGAGGAAGTTTACCTTGGTATGAGGATAGCCTTACTTCAAGGGTGCTTTATGTGTTAACTAGACTGATTAGAAAGGAGTAGCTTTTTAAAAAACAGATCCTACAACTTTGCTTTCCTTTGCTCCAAGAAATGCATTTGTATGAATTGCAGCACGGTTTTATGTTGGTGGTGGTGACAGTGCATTTCGTGATGCGCCATTTCCGTTTTGGTGATGCACGTGTCAAGTTCTCCTACAACTTGCACTTATCCATTCAGTTTTTCAGGGATAATGCAACTCTAAAGGAAGAGCTGGGAAAGCTGAAGTCTTTGTTTTTTTTCTATTATGGAAAATCTCCTTTGATTAATAAACATCTTAAGCAACTCCTCCATCTGCACTCATTCTGGTGTGGGCTTTAGAATGCAACTGCGTTCTGGCAGTACTTGGGAGTTCTGTTGCTTAGCTCTGACATTTGTTTTCCCCTCCCAAGTGCTGCTGACATACTCTACACCAGTTGTACAACCTTGGTAACACGTTTTTCCTAAAAAGAATGTAGGTTTTGGTGCGGTACATCAAAACTATGGTCAGATGTCACAGCCTTGAAACTACTACAGGATTCAGTGTGCAGTGGAGTAATTACAAAGCACTGCACGTGCATCCTGGTGCTTTGTGCTGTGCCTAATGACTGATAGCCGATAATCAGTCGCACAGCTTAACGCTGCATTTTCCTAACGGAATTTTCCCCCTTTTTGCAATAATCTGTTCTCGGAGCAGCACCGTTAAGCCTCACGGCCCGTTTGTCCTGCTTTCGTCTTCCAGTCCTTCCTCACGCGTAGCGTGTGATGCTAACCAAGGGATTTCAGTCGCTCGCTGCCGCACGGAGCAGCGGTGCCCCGAGGTGCCGCAATGCCGCACGGCAGCGACCTACGACTCTTCTGCCACGCGTTTCGTCTGGAGCTGCTGCCGGATTGCCGCACTCCCAAAACCACCTCGGAACGAGCATCCCTCAGGGCTGCTTTATACAACACCTTCCGCCGCGGGAGCCGGGCTGAAGCGGACGCGGAGCGCAGCGCACCCGGGGCGGCTGTCACAGACCCCGCGGCACGCGGGCCCGCCGCCCAGCCCCGAGCGCTCGGTTCCGCTCGGCGTCCGTGCCCGCGGTGGGAGCCCGTCGCCGCGAGGCCCGGCCGCAGCCGGCCTTTCCTCTCCGCCGTTGCTGACGGCCCTGCTCCCGGCGCCCCGTCCGCGGAGAGCCCCGAGGGCGGCCGCCCCCTTCCCACCGCGCTCTGTTCCGCCCCCGCCGAGGCACCACCGGCGTCCCCCGCCGCCGGGCCCACTGCCCGGAGCAGGAAATGGCGCCCGCTCCACTCCTGACGCGCCAGCGCCTCGCTCCCCGCGGTACAAAATGGCGGCGGCGGCGGCCCCGAACCCAGCATAGCCGAGCCGCCATGAAGCCGCGGGGCGGGGCCGCGGGCGCCTAGCCAATGGGCATCGGCGCGGGGCCTGGAGGCGACCAATGGCGAGCGGAGGCGGTGCCGTGCGGCGCCGCGCGTCCAATGGGAGCGGCGGGAGCTCGGGGCGCAGAGCTCGCCCGCGCGGCTCGGGGCGGCGCTGAGGCGGGCGGGCGCTGAGGCGGCCGTTTCCTGTCCTGGTGCATGGTGGTCGGACGGAGGAATTGTTGGAAAATTTCTCGGCGAGGTTCGTATATAAATGTGTTTTTACCCAGTGTGCCTTATTCTAACCACCGCCATCTCCGGCTGGGGCTGCGGCGCCGGGCCGCCGGGCCGGGCCGCACCCTGCGCGCCGGGCTGCGCCGAGGGGCAGCGAGCGAGAGAGCGGGGCAGGCGGCAGCGCGGCACCGGGCGACGCCGACGGACCGCCGCGCCGCCGCCGCCCGCGCGGCCCCCTCCTCCCGCCGGCAGCGCGGCCTCGGGGTGCGCTGGGCCTCCGTCCCGGGCACGGCCGCCGCCCCGCCGCCCCCCGCCCCGCCCCGGGCGGCACCCCGAGCCCCGGGAGACCCCGTCCGGCCCCGCCGGTCGCCCCCCCGCGGGGCGCCGTTGGCCGCCGCGTGACGGGCGGGGGCCGCCGGCCGGGGCCGGGCCGTTCGCAGCGGGGCCTCCCCGTGCGCGAGCGCGGCTCGGCGGGCTCGGGGAGCTTTCGGCGTTGCTGAACGCGGCGCCTTTATTCTCGCCGCGCCGTGCCTCGGCCCTCCCGGCCGCCTCGGGGCCGCTCCATGGGTTACGTGCGGCACGTCCCACGCGAGCCGTCCCGCTCCCCGGGACGGCGGCTCTCGGCATCCTGTCCCGCTGCTGTGCGCCCGCCGGGGCCCGCAGCCCCGTGTGCCGGCTCTGCTGGCCGCGTTACAGGTGATGGTGCCCGAGAAGCGGGACGTCCTTACCTGTACGGCACGCCTGTGTAAGAGCACACGCACGTAACGCGGTGCGTTTTTCCTCCCTAAGTGCCCTTGCCCTACAGTTTTGAAATGACGGAGTGCAACAGAACCACGTTGCGGTGGCTTTTCTCTTTGTGTTTCGTGGGCTGGGCCTTAACGCGGTGTTTGTAGGCTGGGAGCTTCCCGTCTGAATCGCTGTGGAAGATGGAAGTCGGGGATGTGCCATCAAACAGCGCGAGGCTGTGTTGGTACAGATGGCAGCTTAATTGGGCCGTGTGGGATAAGCGTTGAAATAGTTTTTGAGAAACGTATTTCAAACTGATTACATAATTTACATAAACTATTTTCATTATAATAATGAAATAATGTTTCATTCCCTGTATCCTGCTTGCAGAATTATTGTTCTGCCTTACACTGTATGGCTCAAGTAAAGCAAATGCCCCAGCCTGGCTGAAAGTGTCCTTAGCCAGAATATCACTTAGTTCACCCTGTGTCATCATGGTAATGTCTGTGCTTGGGCATTGTGCTGGGACTCCCTTCTCGAAGAGGAGACGGACGGAGATAATAGCAGTAAATATTCCCCAGCAGTGAGTGCCAGAATTAGCTTTGTAAATGTGCGTTTATCTCTGGACCATCTCAGGTTCAGCAGGTCAGGCTGCCTCTGGCCCACACGCTGCACTGTGCTGCCCAGGGCGTGGAATTGGCAGCAGCACAGGCAGGGTGCAGATGGTGCTGCTGTGCTGTCTCCCAGCTGAGCTACAAGGCCATGAGCTGCCACCATTGGCTCCGCACCTGCACACACAACACGGCCAGGCCGAGGGCCTCTGCTAGCTCCTGTGGTGTCAGGGCCTCCTCCTGGGTGCCATCTGTGCTGAGCTTTCATTAAAACATTGTGAGAATATATACTTATCTATACTTATCTGTATAGATGCTTGGCCAGAGTGAGTTCAGCAAATGTCTGAGAAGGATATCCAAAAACAGCAGTGATCCATCAGACCCTCTGCCTATTTTATTTTATTTTATTTTTTGCTCCATTTGTCAGCAAATACTGAAGGGGGTTGGAATGTACCTCCATAATGCACATCAGCTGTGTTAGAGGATTTGGAATGGCTAATTACAGGTATTGCTCAAGCTTATGTTCTTTCCTGAAAAAGCTCCTTGTCCTGACTCACCCTAAAGAACTTACTGGTGTGCAAAAGAATGGGGTGGTGAATCAGTGACCCCACGTCACGGGGGCAGTGCAGCACCTGCCTTGAGCTGATCTCTTGGCCACCCAAACCCACAGAGCTGTGTGGTGTGAGATCCTCGCTGTGAGGAGCTGATGGACACTGTTAGAACAGGACTGCTGCTTTGGCCTGGGAGAGTACTTCTCAAATGAGTGGCTTTCCTGGTGTGCTTTTTACACCTTTGTAAGTAGATGTTCCTATTGACATGAACAAACATGTCCGAGTTAAGGTCCACTTTATCATAGAACAGCTTAGGTTGCAGGGACCTTAAAGATCATCGAGTTTCACCCCCCCACCATGGGTGGGGCTGCCACCCATTAGATCAGACTGCCCAACACCACATCCAGCATGGCCTGGAGCACCTCCTGGGATGGAGCATCCTCAGATTCTCTGGGCAGCTGTGCCAGTGTCTCATTGCCCTCCTTTCTAATGTCTAATTTAAGTCTCCCCTCTTTTAGTTAATGCTGTTTCCTTTTGTCCTATCACTACCAGACCGTGTAAAGAGTCACTCCCCCTCCTGCTTGTAAGCTCCCATCAAATGCTGGAAGGCTGCAGTGTGGTCTCCCTGGAGCCTTCTGCAGGCTGAACAAGCCCAACTCTCTCAACCTTTTTTCAAGGGAGAGGTGCTCCAGCCCATTGACCATCTTTGTGGCCCTCCTCTGAACCCACTCCAGCAGCTTTGCATCCTGTGCTGGGGGCCCCAGGCTTGGGCACAATACTCCAGATAGGGTCTCACAATCCCCTCCTCTTTCCTCCCCCCCCCCCAGTTGATGCAGCTCAGTATGCCATTAGCCTTCCGTGCTCCAAGAGCACACAGCTGGATTATGTCCAGTTGTTTGTCCTTCCTCTGCAGGGCTGCTGTCAAGGAGTTCTTCTCTCAGTCTGTAATCATATCTAGGATTGCCTCGACCCAAGTGTGTCACCTTGCACTTGGCCTTCCTAAACCTCACATTAGGTTCTCACAGGCCTGCTTCTTGAGCCTGTCCAGGTCCTTTTAGACTGCAAATGTTAGCGTTTACTAACTTTGGAGCGTTGTTACAGACTGAATGTAACGACCTTTTAAAATACACGAGCTTTTGTTTTAAATAAAGCTAAAAAGAAGACAGCTTTGTTTTTTTTTCCCCCTTACAGTGCCATTGGGCTTCCATTAGAGTTCAGGATATTGATCATTCCTTGCTGTCACATGTAAGCTGTCACCTTAGAGTTTTGGGTTAAAACATGTTCCACGTGGATGGAGTCTTTAAGAAACGCTGCCACTGAGTTTCTGAGGATTCTTCAGTTGGCTCATGTCAGACTGTTTGCCAAATGATAGGGCTCAGCTAAATGCAGGTGAGTTTTCACACACATCAAAAGGCACATTCCTGATAATCAGAGAAATTCTTTAAGTGTCAGGTGTAGTGCACAGACTACAAATAGTTAAGAGGCAGAACTGGCCTTTAGTGTTCTAGTTTGATGATTTTGTTACTCTTTTGCTCTTAACATTTTGACTCTTGCCCTCTTCCTTGATCATCTCCCTGATTTCTGCTTCCCACACTTGTTTTTAGCTGCTGCCTCTGGCGCATGTATGTACGTACCATAGCATCCCAGCCAACCTGTGTTTGCGTTTCCTTGCCACTGTTCTTCCTGTATTGTCATGTCACTGCAGAGAAGCAGAAGCATGCTTTCTGCTCTTTCCCCACCAACAGGTGGTCAGTTTTTCTCTTCTGTTCCACAAGGAAAACAGGTGAGCCTGATAGAGATATGTGATGCAGGTAACCTGTCCCTGTGCCACAAGGGCTCCTGAAAGACTGAAGGAAACACCCAGCTCCATAAAGTGGATAATGATCCCAACGGATGGATTTTCTTCTGGAACTGAAAATTCTGCTCTTTCTGAACTGAAAATGCAGGCTTTTGTCAACAGAGATGCTCATAGGTTTTCTTCTGAGGTTGGAGTGAGGAGTTGGAGGGAGTTCTTGCCATACAAACATTGATGGAAACCACAGCTAATTTGTCATCTGCGGTTGTTACTGATTAACTCGTGTCCACGTATTTTGTCAAAATTCCTGATTTTGCTGGTAGCCTCAGCAGGTTTGGAGGATTTGAGTGGACGGTGACCAACGAGCTTTCCTCTGACTCCAGGCCTAACTCAGTTTCTGAACATGCACGTTATTATTTGCCCAGTGTGGCGGTGCTGTCAGTGACATCTAATTTGCTGCTTTGGTGCTGACTCTGGTCTGAAGCAGAGCCTGCAGCCGTGCAGGTCACTGGGGGTTACCCACGGCACAGCTGCCATGGTGTGCTGCCGCTCCAGGGAGGTGGGAGCATTGCACTGCTGTCCGCGGGGGAGCTGTTTGTCCCACAGCTGCCACTTGATGGAAGGACTGACCCCACGCTGCCTAACCGCTCATTTCTTCTCTGATACATTCAGGCAGCAGAGGAAGCAAGCACTTATAGCTGAGACAGCGCATGTCTGGAAGATGGAGAGGGCTGAAGTACTGCAAAAAGAGTAAAGCAGAGCCTTGGATGGGACTGCGAGCCCCTGCTCAGGGCGACACGTGTCTCTGTGGCTTAGTGGTGCTGCCGTGCTGCGCACAGACGCGGCGCTCATGCGCTTGGCACTGCTGTCCAGATTGATTGGCTTCTTCTCAGCTGGGTGTGCAGTGCTTCCTGCCATCGAGAAAGCACTGCTGTGGTGTGCTATTAAATTGTGTGCCTTACACCTCTATAATGGCCGGTCTGGCTGAATCCAGCTGTTAGCAGTGTCTTCTGCAGAGGTTTTGGTCTTTGTTTCTGTCTTGTGTCCATCCTATACAGTGAGTGATTGATTTAATGTGGAAATGGCTGCTTAATTATGTCCTGGGTGCCTTTGTGAGAACAGGAAAAAATACAGGAAGGAAGATGATAAAACAGAGCACCGAGAAAGTGGGAAATGCCTGTCATTGAGGAGCTTCTCTTATATGTTATTAAAATCCAATTTTTATATATTTTTTTCCAATCCATGCTGACCAATTGTAGTATGAAATCAACATTGTAATGCAACAATACAATGCTGAAAGAGGCAAAGGCTGTTGAAGGAGAAAGAAATCCATGTCTTATCTCTTGAAATGTTTGATCAAAGTGTGGACAGGATCTAGATGTCAGTTCTGACCCTCCAGATTTCCAAGGTAATGCTGGGAAGGACTGTCATACAGGTACAGCTGGAAACAGTAGGAAGCTTTGAGAGAGCCTTTGTTTTGCCACATCTGTATTTCTGACCCTAGCACTGTCTGATGCCTTCATGCAACTGCTGATCTAACCCTCAGTCCCATAACAAGCAAAGTTTCTGGGCAGCTCTGTTTTTCAATCCATACCCACCACTTTTTGCCCTGAGACCCGTCAGGCTGCAGTGCTTGTTAATTATCAGTTGAAGTGCACTAAACCAGAATGCTAATCATAGGTAGTAATTGTGGTTTTTCACAAACTGCTTATTAATCAAACTGCTTGGGGGAAATGGTACTGATACTGACAGTTGTATCAGTTCTGAAGCGCTCTAATTGGATAGTGATAGGACAAGGGGAAATGGTTTTAAACTGAGACAAGGGAGATTTAGGTTAGATATGAGGAGGAAGTTTTTCACACAGAGGGTTGTGACACAGTGGAGCAGGTTGCCCAAGAAGGTTGTGGATGCCCCATCCCTGGAGGCATTCAAGGCCAGGCTGGATGTGGCTCTGGGCAGCCTGGTCTGCTGGTTGGCGACCCTGCACATAGCAGGGGGGTTGAAACCCAATGATCATTGTGGTCCTTTTCAATCCAGGCCATTCTATGATATGATATACTGCAGCCAGAACTGAACATGGGATCCAGGTTTATCAATCAGGAGCACAGCTTCCTAAAATTCCTTAGTGAGATATTAACAGGTACAGGGTTGTGTTGTTGGCCACATCTCTTTTCCAGGTTGGCTATCGTCTGCTGTTTTTATAAGCCTTGCAAAATTACAGTGGTTTTGCACATCATTGGAAGTGTATTAAAAATAAAAGTGACGTTTATTTTTAAATTAAATAGATGGATGTTATTTCAAACTTCCCAGTGCTGTCTGTGTGGCAAGGGTGAGCAATCACAGGGTTACCTCATGTCTGGAACAGCCTTTTTCCTGTCTGTCTTTCACGGTTCTTTCACCTGGCACCACTCACTCTGTCTTCTCTCTTCTTGCATTTTGTAACCCTAACTTTTCCTCCTTGGCTTCTGTTAAAAACTTTATTCCCTTTCATGTTACTGGTGTCCTAAGTATCGGCCTTTTTTCTTTTTCTCTCTCAGGGGTTTCTGCTGCTGTCACTACAGGTTTTTTCTTTATCCAACAATACAATCTTACAATAATTCTATCCATGCCAAATTCCAGTTTTTGTTTTCCAGCTGTTATTTGCCACGTTCTCAGCAACGTAGGCTCTCAGTCTCCTTGTGCTGTCTTCGGCTGCCTGACTTCCCACTACTCCAAACCCAATTTCTGCTGCATGGCACCATGCCCTCTGCCAGTGCCCGCTTTTCTTTCAGTTCCATCCCACCTGCTGTTTCCTAGTTGTTCCATTCCTGATTTTCAGCCCAGACTCCTGTTTTAAGCCATATAGAGCTTACATAAAAACTTCTCTTTCAGTGTGTCATCTTTTCTGCAAAACAGGTGACAGCACCCAAAAGAAGACATCTGGTAATGTGAATGTTAGTGGGGGAAGGAACACAGTGTTAGTTATAGGAGCCCTCTAACATGAGGCCTTCATGAGGTCTTCATAAGAAATCTTCCCCCCCTGCTTCCATGTATCTGAGTGTTAAGAGCTTAGTGTGTTAGATCATAAATGGTTTTTCCTGTTTGGAGAATGTTAGATATATATAAATATATATTTTTTTAAAATTAATAAAAGTTATTGTTTGTGTACCCTGGTGGGTGGCATGTTTCACATTTCTGGTACAGCTTTCATCAGCAATACACTGAACAAGCTGCTTTCCATCTGTGCCTGACGGTGTGAGACTTGTTTCACTGTCCTCTCTTGTGTGACTGCCTTTTGCTTCCTCCTGTTTTCACTGCAGGGGGTTCAGGCTTCAGCTGTTTTCTGTCTCAGGCTGATTTTTCTCTGGGTAGCATTTCAACCAACTTAGAAAGATAAGATCCTCTCTGCATGAATGCCATGGGAGTATTCTGGTGATCAGTCATGTCAGGTACGCAGTGTGTATCACAGTCCTTTAAAAAATCTTCCCAAATACATTGATGTGTGCCTTTCAAAACTACAACTTGCACATAGTCTGTAAAGATCTGCAACAGCTCACAGAATCAAGCCCTATGTTTTCAGTTCAGTGAGCACCTTGTGACTGCATGCCTGTCTTCCTGTAGGACAGCTTTTGAGATGAACTGGGAAACGTGGATCTTGTTTAGTGACTGCAGAGGTTTCAGGCCAGGGCTGGTGTGTTTTCCTAAAAATGGACACTTTCAACTGCTTTTTAACTAGAGGTGTGGGATTTGAATTTGATGAAGGAAGTCTTTCCCAGGTTCTTGCAGACAAGTTCCTGGCAGAAGGTTGAGGTAGTTTAGGGGGAGAAGCTGGTGTGATTTGGAGTGAAAGAAGGGTAAAGACATTTGCTGGAAGCTGGGAAGCCAGTTAGCAGAAAGCAGAGGGAGCAGAGTGAATAAAGGAGCTGAGATAAGGGAAGAGACTTCAGTTTGATGAAAGCACACTGGCTTCCAAAGAAACAAAAAAGCCATGAATGAATAAAAACATGATAGGAAGTGAGATTTCCATGGTGAGTGATGTACCAACAGCGTGCTGATGTTGTTCTAGAAGTATGCAGTACCAAAATGATTGGATAACCAGAGACTCTTGGAAGTGCTCTAGATGCAGAAGTTACCTGATCCAGCCCCTGCTCCAGGTGGGTCTGTTGAAGCAGGTTGCCCAGGGCTGTCGCATCATCTTCAGCACCTGCTTGGATGGAGCAGTCCATAACCTTTCTTGTCAATCTGCCCCAGTGGTTGGCTATTCTAGTTGAGCAAAGAAACTGAAAGTAGTGATGTTGTGTCAGCAATGCAACAGATTCTCTGAGGTATCCCAATCCATTTCTCTACAGTGTTACCCAGCTTTTCATTTCTCTTCATTCCCTCCCCATGCTCCTCCTCAGGACTCTTAGTGCTGTCCGCTTAGCTTGTCTTCCCTGCTAGGGAGTGAAAAGGGACCTCTAGAGAGAGCGGTGTGTCCTTTAGTTGAGTATATTCCTCCCTGCACAGATTTTGGGTTATTTTGGTGACAAGGGTGGGACAAAGAAAAGTGTGCTGGAAATTTGGCACTGTGACAGGGCCACCTGAAGAAGAAAAGTGGTACTTTGAGGAGAAGGGGTGGAGTTGAGGTAAGTTAGTGGGAGAGCGGAGGGTTGGGAGGAGGATCGATTGCAAGGGGCATTTTGAAAGGGGTCAGAATTGAGGAAAAGCAGCAACATGGTTATCTGCATTAAATCTATTTTTTTTTCTTACCAAATAGCCATTGAGCTTTCAAGCAATGTGTTCTGCTAAGGCTCTTGTGTGGCTTTGCTTCCTCTGTGCTTCCCAAGATTTAAGAGAGCAGCATGAATTCTGGAGGGAGATCCTGTTTCTATTTTGAAGGCAGATTGTATGCTAAGGAAAAGATGCTATGCTAGGAGGGGGAATTCTCAATAGAAAAACCCAAATGAGAGGCCTTCAAAGTCCAGTCCCTGCTAGAATGATTTCAGAACACCATCACAAAGAGGCTCTGTAGCCTTTCTTCTCTGTTGTATGAAGCAATCCGGATGATTTGCAGCCTACTTCCACAAGGTGTCCTGAAAACTGAGTGAACGGGAAGCGCTGTCAATACAGAACACTGTGTTAGCAGTTAAGAGGGTAAATAAACTTTGTTCCCCACTTGCATCTAATACCATAATTACTTAATTAGACTTGCCACAAGCTGGCAGTACCTCCAGAGAAGCAGTCCCAGCAAACTGGGACTGTCATGCTGGGAAATAGAAACTGTTCCACAGTCACTTGGATCTATTTGGAAAATGTGACTTGGATATACTCTTTGACTACTGAATCAGTGTGCCAAAGCTTATAAATACTGCTGGCATCCTGTAGGCATAAGACCTAAATGGTCTACTTTGCTTTCACTGTTCCTTAGTTTTAACTTAGTAAATGTGTCTCCTTGGTTTTTGAGCCCACTGATGAGTTTGTTCATTCAAAGGCAGATTTTCATAGCGTAGAAGAATAAATAACTGTTTAGAAATTGAATCAGAAGTAAATTTGAAATCCTAGATTGTTCTCCTCAACCTTGAATTACAACACAGCATGTCACAGAACCATAAGATTAAGAGCCTTGCTTGTTTACCTATACTCTTCTTTTTGAGATCATCTAACTGCCAATTACTGTGAGAACTCCACTAAATACATTAGTGAAAAAAAGAAAATGCTTTAATGCTGTATAGCCTACACTGCAATTTCATGTGATCTTTTTCAGTCATCCACCTCTCTGTATGTGACTCATTTTTTCTGAGGTGAAAGCCAAGATCCGAGTTAGTAGGATGCAGTGTTTTGAATTTGCTTTATCTGCTAATACTAAAAATTAGTAGCATCCTTTCAGATTCAATATACTTCTTAATACCTTAATACCTTCTTAATGCCTGGGCGAAAAATTAGTATCCAGAGGAATGGCTGGTTCTCTGAGATATCTACAGGGTTGTGCCCGTCACTTAGCAATCACTATCTTGTTATTAACACATTTTGTTGTGAGATCATTTATTAATTTAGATATGTATCCTTATAGGTAGTTAGATATAAATCTTCCTGGAAAACTTAATGAAATTGTTGGACCATTCAGATTTGCTAATCAAGTATGTGTTTCACCAGTGTGTGATCCTGAACTTCTTGCTGGCACTGGAGTTGCTGATAGACTGAAAGCCCTGCTGTTGTTATGGGTGACCATGAGTGAATCGTCAGCTTCATTTTAATTTTGGGGACAAAAAGGTATCATTATTTGTACCATCATTGACACAATGTTTTTCATTTTTCGTTGACAAGTTCTTTACAGAGAGAGTGGTGAGGTGCTGGAACAGCTGCCCAGAGAGGCTGTGGATGCCCCGTCCCTGGAGGTGTTCAAGGCCAGGTTGGATGGGGCCCTGGGCAGCCTGGTCTGGTATTAAATGGGGAGGTTGGTGGCCCTGTGTGTAGCAGGGGATTGGAGATTCATGATCCTTGAGGTCCCTTCCAAACCTGGCCATTCTGTGATTCTGTGATTCTTTTCTTTGTATAAGTTGTGGTTTAACCCAGCTGGTGGCTGAGCACCACACATTCATTTGCTCATTCCCTCCTTCCCAATGGGGTGTGAGAGAAAGTTGGGAAAAAAAAAAAGGTAGAAGTTATGGGTTGAGATAAAACTGGTTACTAAGCTAAAGACAAGGATAATTGTTATGGCTATATATAAATATGAGTGCATGTAACACATGGTGCAGAAGCAATTGCTCACAACCTCCTGATCAATGCCCAGCTAGCTCCTGAACAGCAAAAGAGAGAGACATGAACTCCCATCCCCTTCAAAACTCCTTCTGTTTGATGTTGTATGGTATGGAATATCCCTTTGGACAGTTTAGGTCAGCCATCCTGATTCTGTTCCCTCCCATCTCCTTGTGAACTCCTCTGTGAGTGGTCTCAGCTCTATACGATGCTGCTTAGCAGCAGCTATAAACTTCGGTGTGTTCTCAACATTGCTTTTCTCCTGGAGCCAAGTGGCAGCATCATACACTCTGAAGATCACAATTCTGTCCCAGCTGGAATAAAGACGATATGTTAGTTCAAGTTCAGTTTACTAACTGCTGCCTGAAGTTCTTAATAGCTTAATTAATTGAGATAACAATTCTTAGCTATTTCAAATAACTTCTTTTTTTTTTTTTTTCCACTGAATTATTTTACAGCTCTCTCATTCATTCATTGCATATCTGTGTGTGGAAGGCAACAAAAAATGTTGGTAGAGGTTGCATAGAAATCTAGTTGATCTTGGATTGTATTTAACTAGTTCTGGTTCAGTATTTAGATTTTGTACTGATGTCCTTGAATGCTTTCTTTGTAGGCAGACAATGTTACTAGCTCAGATAAACCGAGACTCTCAGGGAATGACTGAATTTTCTGGAGGAGGAATGGAGGCCCAGCATGTGACTCTGTGTCTGACAGAAGCTGTAGCCGTGCAAGGTGAGCACTGAGTTGAAATGTGTATTATTGTGTCTTTCCTGTTAGAAGGTCAGATAAAACTCTAGAACTCAAGCAGTGTATTCCAAATGAAAAATCTAACACAAATCAGCAGATTATTCTTAGTTAGCTGAGATGAAGTTCACTGATTTAATTAAGAGAGTGATCTCTTAATTAAGGTAATAGGAGTATAAACGTATCAAAATAGATACTCGAAAATCTGACTTAATTCTCACAGTGGTTTTACTGTTTTATACTTTGTGACTTCATTCTGCACCAAAGCACATTTTAGACTAGTTAAATTTTAAAATAGGTTGGTGATTTGAATTGGTTTAAATATGGTATTTTCTGACAGCTTTGGTACGATTTTCACTGATAAAATATTTTTCCTAAGTATTTTAGTCTAAATAGATTTGCATATACTAATATAGGTAATAAGGTACAAAACAAAATTATTCATACAAATAGATATCATTATTTCACTGTTGGAGCTCATTACCTAATTAGTATTTTCCCTAAAACCTAAACTTTGCAATCATTTATTCAATAACACAGCTTTTCTAGTTAGAGCAAGTAGCACTGAGGCTGTCCTGTTTATGGAGCGAGGTCTTGAACATCTGACCACAGTATGTCATCAAGGTTGAAAACCCAGAAAACCTACCAGTATTTCTAAAATCACTGGGTTGTAAGGGATGTCATCATTTTTGGAGGTGCATAACTGGTGATTTTTGAAGTTTGATGTTGGTAATAGAGAATGTGAACCTTTTGCTTTACTAGATGGTGACAACTTAGAAAACATGGAAGGTGTAAGTTTGCAAGCAGTTACCCTGGCTGATGGCTCCACTGCATACATACAGCACAATTCTAAAGGTAGGTAAACGACTGGAAGTTGGTTTGTATCGACATTGTATTCCTCTCTTTATTTGTATTCCTCTCCTATGCTGGGTTGTAAACCCCTCTGGGTAGTAAAACTGGGGAAAATCTTCAGTGTTTTCAAAGCTGTACTCCCAGTTGGGGGATTGCAGTAATAATACCAGATAAATATTTATTTCCAGTACTAATAAGATGCAGGTATCAAATGCAGAACATAAGTCAGACTCAGAAGCAAGATACTCTGCATGCTTCAAACCCAAATACCAACGTTCTGCCTACTGGATAGGTAATAAAATTTAGTGTTCTGTATTGAGTGTATTTATTTCAACCATCACGCCTTCTTTATCCTAGAATTCTAAAACCACTGTTTCTTAGCCCCTTACTATGCTTCAGCTTTAGCAAGCAGTGTAAGTCTGTGATATTGTACTGATACTCTGTCTGATCCACGAAGTGTCTGCTGTGTGTTTAAAGTAGGTTGTGTCACACTGTTAGATTCTCTGAAAGTACTCCGTGTATTTCAGATGGTAAATTAATGGATGGCCAAGTGATTCAACTAGAAGATGGTTCTGCAGCCTATGTTCAACATGTACCCATGACTAAAAGTAGTAAGTGTAATTATATATATATATATATAAAAATATATTTTGAAGTATTTTATTACTGATAGATACTGATATTAACTAATCAGTAATCATTTTAAAAAAGCTTGATTTCTTAATTGTTTTGCAAAGAATCTTGAAGAGAGAATTTTTCTGACTAATGCATTTTTCAACCTCTTGTCAAAGCATTGTAATTCTTCTAAACAGGGGACAGCTTGCGTTTGGAAGATGGACAAGCAGTTCAGCTGGAGGATGGAACTACAGCATTCATTCATCACACCTCCAAAGGTAAATGGCTTTTGAATAATGGTTTAGTATTTCAGTTGAACAGAACAGCAGTACAAAACACGATACTGTATTCAGACAATTACGTAATTCAGCGTGATTCCCATTGCAGTTTGTTTCTTACTTCTGCTTAGTGGCATCTAGGAATTACTGAAATGAGTCTGATTCAGTTCTTTATTAGGACATCATAGAGCAGTTATAAACAGAATTTAAAAATCACCAGCTGTGTATTTATTTTTGAAGCCATGGATATCAATAAAGTAAGTAAATGCCACGTCAGTAGAGCAAGCAAGCTATCACACAGATTTCAGCCATAATTGTATGTAGAATTAAGAAGAGAAAGCAGTTAAGAATGAATCAGTCAATCCCACTTAAACTAAAGAATGTAGAGACATGACATACATTTCAAAGATCATCTCTTGGGGATATTGTCTTTAAGTAGTAGGGCTGAAAGTGTGATGACTGATGGTCAAAAATGCAAACATTCATTTTAAATTATAACCTAGATTGCTGCAGAAGCTGATTTTTCCCATCTTATGAACAATCCTATTTCTTTTGAAAAAGTGAACCATTAGATATTTTAATAAGCTAATGTGACAAAAATTACATTCCACTGCCAGCAACACCATCCAGAGTTTATTTTGCATCTATTTTTACGGGTGATTCTGGTATCAGGGTCAGATCCATACATTCTAAAATCAGATGTATGTGTTTCCTATGTTTTCATTTTATTATGAGTGGATAATGAGTTGGAAGAATATTTGTGGTTGTGATTTCCTTTGTTAGTAAAGCTAGACCACAATTGAATAGACTGGAATTGGTTTTGCACTTCTGCAAGTGTGCAGAAGATGTAGATGGCGTTGTCTTGAAAAAAAAGTTAATCTGCTATTCATGGTGGTATTGTAATTGGGAATATTTCTCATAAATATCAGACACATATACAGCTTTTGGAGACGTTTCCTAAGCAGCAGCAGTTTCTTGTGTTACCTACAGCCACTGCTATTCCTTTTCATTTGTAACACGTCGTAATGTTATTTCTCAGACAGTTATGATCAGAGTGCGTTACAAGCAGTCCAGCTGGAGGATGGCACTACTGCCTACATTCACCACGCCGTGCAGATGCCACAGTCAGATACCATTTTAGCCATTCAAGCTGATGGCACAGTGGCTGGTCTTCACACGGGAGATGCTGCCATTGACCCAGATACCATCACTGCTTTGGAGCAATATGCAGCTAAGGTATGCTGGACAACAGTTCATCTGTCTGTAATGTTTTAATGTCATATCACATGATGCTTGACAGCAAAAGCCCACTGTGAGCTAAGAAATAAAATGATAAGAGAGTCTTCAGACTCTTTTAAGAGAGAACACCAGATTGCCACAACAGTGCCTCACTGTTATGGGTGGCTCCAGTGTGTGCTCTTGCATAAAGACAACAAGAAATGGAACACCAAAATGATGTGGAATCAAGCTGATGTGCGTAGTGATTTGGACAAGTAAATAACTATTTTCTGTAAAATACAAAAGATTAGAGTGGAGCCTCTTCAGAAGATGTAGTTTGGAAAGAAGGAGAAAGTTAAATTATTCTTAACAAGAGACCACTGCTGATTTTTTTTTTCTTGCATTGAAAGGAGTAGGGCCTGTTATCTTCAATAAGGATATTATTACATGATAATAAAGTGTAAAAAAACACCATTAGGCAGCTGATGAATTTGGAGAAAGCTTCTCTGATCCATGCTTTTAATGACAAAAATGTAATGTGAGGCTGAAAATTCACGTTCTCCACTTCAAAGGACTTCTGTGAAGTGTGGTCTAAATATACAGCAAACAGTGCAACTTTCACGGTTTAATGGTTTCCGAGTGTCCTGATTCCTAGATGACTGCTGTCAGTGCTTGTATTGGTTTGGAAATAGTTGAATTAATTTTATGGTTTGTTCTCAGATGTTACAGGGAATAGTCATATTCTGGGAGAAGGCCACTTAGGGTGATTAAATGGCACATACCCCATTCTTTCCATTATGTTTGTGTGCTGTAATTGAAGAAAACGTAAGAAAGCCCATCAAACTGTGTTACATTTAGCTGTGCCTTAAACTTTCATTATGTAAAAAGGTAATTCAAGGCTAGCTGTGCTGTAGCAACAAGCTTTTATGCATTGCCTAGCTGTTATTTCATCTAGGTTTATATCAGTTGGAACTTTGTCCTTTCTAATAAGGAGCTATGTTAATACTAATTTGTTATAAAAGTACTTTTCTGTTTTGTGGAGAAGAAGCAAATGTATTTGCTTTTTTTCTCCTATTCATCTCAACATGTGTTTTTGAGTTCTGTAATGTGAATTAGTATTCTGAAGTATACTTGTGTATAGCTAGGAAAAACCCTGCTTGTTTTCTTAAAGCTTTCATCTCAGCCTTATCCTGAGACGTACTGCTAGAACTTTCAAGGAAAATCAGGAAAAGTGAATTTCCAAGTACTGAAACTGCATTATGTGCAAAAGCAAGTAATAGCTGCATTGTTACACCCCTGTTTTTCTCTTGAAAGGAGAAATGCAGTTTTAGGATTCTGCTCCATGTCCATATAGACTTCATAATAAGGCAATGTATACTTTTACTAGCAGATGGCTTAGGACACTAAAAAAGGTACAGAAAGGGGCAGCAATGATGACCAAACAAATGAAATAAATGAGGTAAGGATATGAGAGAATTTTACATGATTTTAAGTGGCACAGAGTAGTGTCTTGTCATTGTCTTTACCAGTGTAAGAACTGGGAAGCATCAGAGAAAACTCTCAGGTCTCGGGTTCAGTGACAACAAGGGAAGGATATTTTTCAAACAGCATAAAGTTAAGCCATGGTACTGCTTGTAGAATGTTGCTCATACTAATTATGTCTCTAGATTCAAAGGGTAATTAGAAAATTCATGGAAGAGAAATGTATCTGGGGCTATTAGGTAGGAACATGTGATTTCCAGTTCAGGAAGTTCCTAAGCCACAAATTGCTTGGAGGCTGGGAGAATATTTCTGGAAATGTATCACTAAAAGAAGACCACAGAGAAGCTCACTGGACTTGGTGGAGGATATTCATTTTTCATCGTCTCTTACTTCTCTCTTAGGCATAGTCAACATGTCTTGCAGAGTGCATGTAAAGGCTAATTGGAGTCCTCTTAATTTTAGACTTAGTCAATGCCACCTTCCTCTCAAAGCAACCTGGAAAAAATACATTATTGCTCTCAGTCTGCATAAAGTCAGAGGACGTGTAGTGGAATTGCAGATAGGAATTGTGGCTGGATTTAGGGACACCAATCTCAGCCTTGAATGTAAGAGGGTATTGTGAATGTGAGTGCTCAACACAGAGGCAACTACTGAAGAGGAAAACTTACAAAGTATATTTCAAATTAGTGTTTTTTACTACAGTGACCACTGTTCTGAGTTAATGCATTTGAGAGCATAGTAAGTAATCGTTTCAAATATTCTATGTCCCTTGAAAAGCAGAGATTTCTCTTCCTATAAATGGTATTTTAAAATGAACCTTAAGAGCAGTACACAAGACACACAAGTCCTCTCTTACCTTTTGTAATTTTACTATTTTGAATTAAGAAGTGGCACATTGTCTAGATACTTTGATTCTAAAGGAGCTGAGTTTCTTTTTCTCTGAGAACTCAGTGTTATCAATTTTTAATAATTTAATATACTTTCCTTTGAGTTTTCATCTAGCACATTCAGTTCTTGCAGTCTTTTGGATGTCATTTTAAGAAAGTCTTGAGATGCTTGCCTTACCTGTTGTATAATGCAGGTGCTGCAAGCGGGATTTTCATGTAAGCTACTGTCTTGTAGGATAACCAGCTTTCAAGAGGGAGCTAGAGAGCTAAGAAAGAATAAGCCCCCAGGAACTGTCTGTAAATCTGCCTTTCCGATGAATAAAAATAACTTCTGTTTTTCCCGTATCAACCTCGTTTTTCAGGTGTCTATTGATGGAAATGACAGTGTCAGTAGCACGGGAATGATAGGCGAAAATGAACAAGAAAAAAAAATGCAGGTATGTAGCACAATGCAAAATAAAGGTGTGCATGTTTGTTCAGTCTTCTCTGTGCACAGTCTGACTGTCTAACCAACTAGTCTGTAGAAGACGCTGCTTCAAGTGAACCCTAGAGCAGACAAATATTTCCAGTTCTTTTTCTTGTTATTACATAGAAGTATAAAAACTTACTGAGGTGAAGGTATTAACTCAAAAGTTCTAAGAGTAATGGAAAGTAAAGGTAAAAATTATGAAGTCTCAATCCTTTTTTACTTTAACCAGAAATCTGTAAAATCCTAATTAGGAACAAGAGCAAAAGCTAATAATAAAACCTTATGCCCTCACGTGCTCACATGACAGGTTCAGAAATGGCCAAGTCATTGCACTGAGAAAGATTTGGTCATCAAAGAATCAGTGTTCTTCCTTTTTGTTTAATTTCAGAGGTGATGAAGTAGATGAGGATGGAAAAATATCTTCTGAGGTAAAATATGTTACACTACCTGTGAAAGAGGGAATTACAGGCTCACCTCTGACAATGACCTCAAAATCCTGTCATCTTATTTTTTTTTAGGTCCCACAATACTTAAAACCAGTGACAATCTACAGCTGTCTGAATGGCATGATTGTGAAAGGACAGAAGAGCTAATTTAGACATTATCAATAGTATTAAAATGCTTTCCATAAATATAAATAAAGAACTTCTGGAGTTTTGTACTGTTCTAGGATGGAACAGGAGTACAACTCTATCAAAATGCAAAATTCAAGGAAGAATAGAATCAGATTTTGTTTGACATTAACTAGAAGTAAAAACCTATTAAGCAAAACAAGCTGTTACCAATATCCAGTTACACGTTGATTTTGGCCTGAAGCCCAAAAAAAAGTGAATCTGAAGGTTCTTTATCTTGCACTTCATATGGCAACACATATGGCTGTATGGAAGTGTGTTGATCTTATGGAGCATTACGTGTTCCAAACAAATGGCCAAAAAAGATCTGATGTTTCAACAGGTAGTAAGGCTCAAATTCTGACACCTCCCCAGTAAGGTGACTTCATTTGGCCGAGCATGGAAGTGAGGGTCACAGAGCTATTGGTTGTTTCTTAAAGTATTTTCAGTGATTATTTCTTGGTGTGATTAAGTACCTACTTGTAACTCTTTTAAAAATAATGTATTACTTAAGATACTTTATCTAAATTTGAAACTATTTCATTAAATAAGTGTGAATTTATAAATTCTTCCTAAAAAGATCAAAGTAACTCAAGAACTGAACAGATGTTATGCTGCTGAATAGTCAACCAGACCATTTGTGTATGGTTAAGGTTTTCACCAAAGAAAAAAATAAAGCATAAAAACCTGTTTGTGATTTGTACAGATGAGAACAAAAGCCTTTGTGTGACCTAAAGGATGTCGTGCTGTATTTTTTTTCACAGCTGTCATACCCATCTGTTCAAATGAAAATCAGAATCATATGACTGCTGTGTATGTGATATAAAAATCTTACCTGAGATCTTAGTTACCTTTGTTGTTCTTCTGTGTAACCTGTCTGAGCTAAGTTAGGATGCATTGGTGGTTACCTGCAAAATAAAGAGTTTCTGAGTTTTCGTCTACTTAATTGGAGGGCACCAGTTCACTGAAAGAAAGATTGAATTAGGGGATATTTGAATAAATTGGGCATATGCACACATCTGCTGGACCTAATGGGTGTAAGTGTGTAAGTGCTGATTGAGCTTGGTAATGTCATCGCAAAGCCACTCTCGGTTTTCTTTGAAGGGCCACAGTGTTCAGGGGAAGTTTTTGAGGACTGGAAGAAAGCAAATGTCATTCCTGTTTCAAGAAGTGTGAGAAGGAGGATCTGGAGATGTACAGATCTGTCGGCCTCACCTGAGTCCTTAGCAATTAGGTGAACAGATGATCTTACAAGCCATTTTCAGACATGTTGGCAGTTGGGAATAGTCAGTGTGGATGTAGAAAGGAGAAATAATGCCTGACCAACCCCACCACCTTTTATGACAAAGTAACAACCTTTGTAGTTGTTAGAACAGCTGATATTGTTTATTACTCAGATGAGCCAGCAGGAATCTCAGAAAGTTTAATAAAAAGAAGTGGAAAGTCATGAACCTGGGAAGTATAACCAGTGCACTGGTAGAAACTGGAGAGCAACTGGCTGGAAATCAGTTCTGCGGAAAAGGACCTGGGGATCCTGGTGAACAAAGCTGACTGTGAACCAGCCTGTGGTAAAAAAGGCCACACGTCAGCAGATCAAGGGAGGTGATCTTTGCCTTAGACGCAGTGCTGGTGATACGCGTTGGGAATGCTTGGTCCAGTTCTCAGCTGTCAGGAAGGCGTGGACATACTGGAGTAAGTAGTGAAGGACTGTGAAGATGATTAAAGGCTCGGAGTCTGACAGACAAGGAGAGGCTGGGAGAGCTGCAGCTATTCAGCTTCCAGCAGAGAAGGCCAGGGGAAATTTTACCAATAAGTATAAATACCTGATATGGGCGTATAAAGATGGCAGAGCCTGTCATAGTGTGCTCATAGTGTGCACAGTGGCAGGATAAGAGGAAATCTGCATAAACTGAAATACAGGAAGTTTCATTTAAACTTGAGGGGAAAAAAACCTCTGAGGACGACTGGATGCTGGCATAGGTTGTGCAGGTTGTGGTGACTCCATCCCTAGAGATACTCAGAGCTCAGCTGGATATTGCCATGAGCTCAGCTGGATATTGCCATGAGCTGATTCTGCTTTGAGAAGAGAGGTTGTATTAGGCTGTCCCATCTCACTGATGCCGTGGCTTGTTCTTTGACAACGTAGAATGGAATTGGATTATGGAGAAAAAGGAAGTAGTTTGAAAGGAAGATAGACTTGTAAAAGTCTCAGTTACTTTGTATACAGTTGTATCAACATGTTTACCTTTGGTCTTCTGCCTCTTTTTTCAGTCTGTAAGAACGTTCCTTGATTATTAGTGTACAAAAAAGCCTTTGGTAGGGATCTAAGCTGTATCATGAAATTATTCTGTATATTTTCCTGTTGTGTCATGAGCCTAGCTGCAGTTGCACCCATTAGTTTGATCAAAATACGTGCATCACTGACAAAATACAAAATGTTTTCCTTCGTTTTTAGAAAGTGCTCCTTATATAACTGCATTTAATTATTGGTTGGCCTCTGTGTGAACTTATCTTTGAAGGTGGTCTGATTTATAGCTAACCTCCCTTAGGAGCAGACCCAGTGCCTTAGACGTGTAATCTGAGCCTCTTCTTTCTAGCACTCATCTTACTGCTTCACTTATTTTTCAGATTATTTAGTCTTTGTTATTTGACTAATTAATGCATTCATTTAAATGTTCTAGTTCTAAGTAAAACTCATGCTTTTAATTTCATTTACTGAGTGCTACGAAATACGTCGCGTAGCAAAGAGAGATGAAAGGAAACCTGTTAGAGTCAGCTTTGACTGCATGATAGCGTGTGACTTTCTTGATCCACTGTATTTTTTTAATCTTTTCTTTCTTTTTTCAACTTCAGATTGTCTTGCAGGGACATGGAACAAGAGTGGCTGCAAAGTCTCAGCAGAGTGGAGAGAAAGCATTTCGCTGTGATTATGATGGCTGTGGAAAACTGTACACAACAGCTCACCATCTTAAGGTGATGAAATGTAAAACAAGCATTGTTAGTTTGCAGGCATTATTGTTATTTTTTTTTTTTTGGACAAATTGTGCACTTTAAAGTGATGGAAATTAACAGAGAAACAACTGTCTAATAGACTGCAGTTACTGACTAACAAAATATACTCTTAGTCTGTTAATGTTACATAAAACGTGCTCTAAAACGTTGACTCCAAATGATGCTTACGTAGTGGTCAGATTGGTGTAGATGCAAACACGGTGTCATGGTTGACCCATATATTTCCAGCATGTAAGAAATCTTGTTGAGATAATTTCTATCAGTAGTATCACAGAAATTCTGAAATCCAGAGTTCAGTAATCTACGTGAATGCGTGATTATGTGAGAATTCTGAGTTCTGAATGATTTTATCATCATAAGTCTAAATCTTCAAAACAGTTGAAAATGCAAAGTGAAGAGATGGAATGTCTTTTCTTAGCACATAGCAACTTCTTGGTTCCCTCTTACTTGTTTTTTTATTTTTTTTTAATTTTAATTTAGTAAATAAAGTACTGTAGAGCTGTATTCCAGTTTAGATGTGGAATACAGGTGATCACCTGGGGATGAGCTAAGCTCCTTTCAGTGGAGCCTTGTCTGTGACAAAACACTGTGGAATCAGTGAGGTTTCATGCAATATAAGAGGACCTGCAGAAGTCTCAGTGTAGTCAATAATCAGAGAGAAGGCTCTGAGGCATGCCTGCGTGCTTTCTTTAATTTACCTGTGTGTTGGCAATTCCACATATTTACAGAAACATCTTTTGTAAAACTGACTTGAAAGGATTGGGCTAGACCTTAGAAGAAGACACCTGTAGTTTTAAGGAAAACAGTGCTACCCTATGTTAGTTTTTATCACTGACTTAAAAAGAAGGCATTTAAATGTGAATCTTAGGAAGAGAAGTAAAACGTGTTGTCTTTTAGAATAAGGTTTTTCTGTGCTGAAGTAATCAGATGCATCTTGTTAAATGAGTGTATCGGATGTCTTGGCAGGTACACGAAAGGTCACACACAGGAGACAGACCATATCAGTGTGAACATCCTGGATGTGGTAAAGCTTTTGCAACAGGTGACCCTTTCCTCTCCCTGCTTTTTCGCATTTGTCTGTATAAGTTTATGGTACCATTCTTTCTTTTCCTTAGTTGCAAAGTATAGAACCTGGTTGGGAATCCATTTATGAGAACTGCAGAAAAAAGTGTTGTTTAAGCTAGTGCAGCATATAGAAAAGACAGAGGATTTGACTATTAGTTACTGAAGGGGTAATGGGGTGAAACACTTGGCACTTTCATTTGGTCTTCACCTGTCATGCTACAGCCAGATTTTATCTTGAAAAAAATAGGCCTTCTTAATATGAAACTAACAGTGTAAGTTACACGAGGTGACAGAAAAAGCTGAACTTGCTGTCTAGAGGGATCTAGATAATGTTCTGATCCAAAGTTGCAAAGAACTTTGCTAGGAGCTGCTTGCAGTGTTTTTTATCACACTGTATCAGGGTGATGTTTCTCATAAAGCAAACACTGTATTTTGTACTGACTAATCCATTTGTAAATGATAAACTACCTAAGATTTGATTACTTAAGATGCAATTACAAGTGATGAACCATTGAAGATGATACAAAAAAGCAAAACTTGTTTCAAATTCTTTCACTTTGAATGTAGATTGACTTGATACTTAGAAAAGTTAGAGTCTAGATTTTCTATATAAACTGAGATTTTTTGGAACTCCATTTGATGTGACAGATTGAATAGTGTTTCTTTAAATAAGCACAAGAAATGCTGATGAGAAAGGTCAAAAGACAAACAGTCCCACTTAAAGAGTTGCACATAAGTTTAATTTTATAGAGTGTAAAGAGATTTCAAAACAACATAATGAAAGCACTATTCTCTGTTGCAACAGACTGATGTGCAGCTCTAAACAGCTTTCTGTCTAATGCTGTATTTTGGGCCAGAGACATTTGTACCACCTTACCTCAGCCTTTGATATGGTTTGTGTCAGGCACCAGAAGTTCTCAGCTTAAATATGAAGAACTCTGCTGTGTTGGATCGTGACGTGATGTTTATTTTAGATGTAAGAGCGAATTGATGCTCCTCTTTGTAGCCACCATTGTGTTCATAACAAGTCAAAAATAGAAGTTGTAGGAGTTTAGGGATATACTTAGAAAACATTCTGAAATTAAGTAGGCGCCATCTTCTTACAGACTGTTCCTTTATTTTTTAGAAATGTATACATCTCTAGTGAATGGAAGGAAAATTCATGTTTCTAATAATATTCTAATGATTAAATACCATTTTGATGACAACATTGGTAAGATGAAAAAAAGTAGACGGGATAGAGAACATGCCAATTTCCTCAGAAGATAAAATAAATATTTACCTACATTATAATAATTGCAGTTTATCCCATTGAAGGGAGTGGGAAGTGTGCTTTCCTTATAAAGGAGGGAAGGAGGAATTCATCAACTGTATCAGGGTTTCGTTGCTCTGTAAGGTAGAATGAGGCGCTTGCAAAGAGGAACAGCTTCTGACCATCTTAATTTTGTACTTTATTTAGTTACTTGGGTGTTATAACATCCTTTCTGACCTCCAGGGTATGGATTAAAAAGTCATATCCGAACACACACTGGTGAAAAGCCGTATCGGTGCACAGAAGAAAACTGCACCAAGTCATTCAAGACTTCAGGAGACCTACAGAAACACATCCGAACCCACACAGGTAGAATGACTACCATTTTTGTTTCCCCAGGTTAATTCACTTTGGTGGATTTCTCTGATTCACGTTGATTAGAAAAGTGTTCAAGCACCCATGCTGCCATTGCAGACGTTTAGCAGTGTGTCACTGACGTCGTCACTGAGCACCTTTGCAGTTGGGTTTGCAGCTCAGTACCAAGGGGTCTGTTCTCAGTATCACAGCTCACCTTTTAGAAGTGGTTTGGTGCTTTAAGATAAATTGGACGCCAGGTTCATGAAGGCTGATAGTTCTCAGGTTGCTGCCCTTCATATCGTATCAAACTAAATGAAGGTTCCAAACGTGTGAAAATTAAAACTCAAGTCCTTGTGGAAACAGATGGAGTCGTGTGTGCTCGTAGATACCCTATGCGAGTTTCAACAGCGCACCGATGGAGGCAAGTCTTCTCGTGTTGCTGGTGCAAGAAAATCTCGGTCACCTGGAAACAGGTCACTTTTCTAGCAACTCCATTAGAAACACAAAGGCAAACCGGTCCGGTGACATTCCTGCAATCGCTGAAAAACAAACAGTGTTGCGGTTTCTGACTGCAGCCCTTCTTGAGGCTGTAATTGGAGGCTCTGCCTCGCCACGGGGATCAGGGGAGCCATGGTAACACAACACTGAGGCGTGTACGCTCACATACGCTCTGCCTTGGCAGAAAAGTGGAAAACGTTCCCGAAACGGCGGCCTTAAGGAGTGAATTATAGTTTCCTCTGCCAAGAAGCTAACTGCTTTGGAGTTACATGTCTGTATCAGGTCTTCATTTTTCGTTTCTGTTTCCAAGTACTTAGAATTGTGTCTGTAGTGCTAATCTGCCCTCTCTTGTTCTCGGACTCCTCTCTTTGTTGACCAGTACGGTGGGGGCAATGTACTGAGCCCTACCAAGTGTCAGGTTCCAACAGGACAGCATGTTGGATGGCTCGTGCCTCTCCAAATTCAATCCCTTTGCTCTCCTCCCTGGAGCTGTGTGCTCTGATAGGTCTGAAGGATCAGCGAGGTTAGACGGGCTGGCTTTATCTGATCTTCATGGTGAAGGTGTTGGAGGAGCAATGTGAGTTATTGTGTGTAAATTTAGTATAGGAATGGACTTAGTAACAAAAAAATCTGTGATTGCTTTGACTTTGGCTTTAGGAACTTGAATTTCAAGGCTGTGTCCCTTTAAAAATTTGTTTCAGCCAAAAGTAAAGTGCTTTCTGTGGTGAATTTGACTAATTGGCCTGTATCTTGGTGATGTCTTAAATCATGAAGTAATTTTTTTCATTTTATTAATTACAAATGTACAAATGGTTTAATGCACTTGCTTTGGAAAACACAGATAGCATTTTGTTTGGAGGGGTTAAACACACGCAAAAATATAGGTAATATGGAAGCTAGTTCCAGCAACTGAGTCTGTTTTAAATATCATGAGATACTGAGTGCTTCATGATTTATCTCACAGCTTACACAATTTTCCCAGTTTTTGCCAGATACAGGTACAACACTCCGTGTCATATGTTCATGGCATCTCTGAACGAGGCTCTCAATTAGATAGCTTTGGATTCCAACGTTCAGCATAAGTGTAACTTACAATTTTTGTACTCTTTCATCACTTTCCTGTGTGTACTTCTTTTTTTTTTTCAGGCGAAAGGCCCTTTAAGTGTCCTTTTGAAGGCTGTGGCAGGTCGTTCACAACATCTAATATTAGAAAGGTTCACATCAGGACACATACAGGTGAAAGACCTTATTACTGCACAGAGCCAGGATGTGGGAGAGCTTTTGCCAGTGCAACTAATTATAAGAATCATGTGAGAATACACACAGGTATGTGGATGGTGTTTCATGTTTTGAAATGGATCCCGCTTGTGAGAGTCTTCTTTTTTGAACACTGTTTTGGTGCACTGTAGTTGGATGTAGTCATGTTTAGGTGACTTGACCTGGTGCTTTTCTTTTGGCTTCACGTGAGGGAAGATAAGCATAGTTTGGCTCACCTTTGTGAGTCTCCCATTCACTTGGATTGTATTTTCAAGATTCTGAAATGTAAAAGCTAGTGATAGCCATATCATCTTATAAGCCTTGCATGTTTATAGATGCACGGATAAGTTTCATGCAGAACTTTTGTATCAGATCAGCTTTATAGTTTGTAATGTAATTTAGACATTTGTTTCATCGATTTTTTTTTAGGATTTTTTTAAAGGAACAAAACTGTCAGTGCTGTGCAAAATTGGTGTTTAGGTTGACACCTTTCCAGAAGCTCAAAGTTCTGTGTCACTCAGTGATGCAGTTTGCATTTGCCTTCATCCTCAGTATGAGTTTCTAAAGATTCTATAAATTGCAGCTTTTAGACTGCATCATCCTGTACTCATAAGGAGAACATTTTATATGGATTAGGAGAAAAAAGGGCCCAGCTTTCACTGGCAGATTAACTTAGCTTTGATAAACTTAGTGAACTAGAGCTTCACTGTTGCCTTTGAAATTGACATTGGCTTGGTAGTGGAAGTGTGTCACTAAATACCTTACAAATTCATTGACAGTTTTGTTTGTGCATTCTGGATAACATTCTCTCCTTCTCCTTGCCATACAGGGGAGAAGCCCTATGTCTGTACAGTTCCTGGTTGTGATAAACGTTTTACAGAGTATTCCAGTTTATACAAACATCATGTTGTACATACTCATTCCAAACCATACAATTGCAATCACTGTGGAAAGACATACAAGCAGATTTCTACACTTGCTATGCACAAGCGGACGGCACATAATGACACAGAGCCCATTGAAGAGGAACAAGAGGCTTTTTTTGAGCCACCTCCAGGTTAGAGTTTCAGTCTTTGAATCTTTTGTAACAAATGGGCTGGATAATATTATGCTGTTTATAACCAAGGAAATTAAAGTATAGATAAAAATCTGAAGTACTTAATAAAAGTTATTTAACTTCTTTGTAGGACTTTTTAGTGTGCTGGTCAACTTGTAAACAGAAACCGAGAGAGTAATTGACCAGATCATAAACTGAGTTTATAGCAGGCTGGAGATAAGAGAGATTTGAGAAATCTGAGCTGCAGTCCCAGCAAACCTGCTATAAACAATTCTGCTATAAACGTGAACTGTGTGAAGGGACCTGCAAGAGCCTAAAGTGCTTGTCTGCAACCTACTGGATTTTTCTGAGGCACCACAGTTGCTGGAGGTCTTTTATCAGGAATAAAGGCACTGCTTTGTGAAAAGGAAAAATCCGTTTGTGCAGCACTGGGATACTGTGGTGGTTTTGTGACAGTTAATAGCAGAGTTAATAGCAGTGTCTGTGAATTTAGGTCCTAGAGGCAAAGACAAAAATAAGCTAAGAATGTTTGTCATGTCATGAGTAGTGTCTTGTGACTATAAAAATGAGGTTAGAAGAAATGCCATGAGAGAACAGTTATCTCTTGCCAAACTGTGATTTGTCTGAAGATAGAAAATGCAGATGCAAAGGGTTCTGTTTTACTACGTGTATTTGGGAAACAGCACTGAACGCCTCAAGCATATTTGCTATAGTCTCATGCCATCTTTTGAGGGAATTATAGGATTCTTTTACTGAAGTTAAACATTTATTAAGATAATTAACTGAAATCTTCACACAAAGGCATCACTGTATTCCTCTGCCTGTTTGTTAATGAATAACTTTTAGAAACTGCCATTTGTGTTCTCATGAAGGCTCCTGCTTGGAGAAGTTAACATTTAATGATTGAATTAGAAATAGTTTGTTGCCTTTTTAATGTTTGAGTATACACTAGTAATATATTGTTGTTGTGAGTAGCATTTGTATGTCTTTTCTCATCTTTCAACTATCCCTTTTCCACTGAAGTGTTTAAAAACCATCAAACCAGGCTGGCATTTATTCCTTGTTGGTTATCTTTCCTGCCTGCATTTGGAGTATCCAAACTAAACTACTCTCTTGTCTTCTTTGTATCAAATAGGTCAAGGGGAAGATGTCCTGAAAGGCTCGCAAATAGCCTATGTGACAGGTGTAGAGGGAGAGGACGTCATCTCTGCACAAGTTGCTACAGTTACTCAGTCAGGGTTAGGTCAACAAGTAGCGCTAATTTCCCAGGATGGAACCCAACACGTAAGTAATTTTTTGCTGAAGAGGTGACAAAAATATGTTGAGAGTTTTGGCTCATGTGTTGATAAATAAGTGCGTTGATTTCTCATGGGGAGAAACTTATTTGAAGATTATGCTATATGCTTAGGATTGGATCTCCTCTGGAACACCAAAATTCCACCATAAATTCTCTTACCTGAAACTGTATTAATACGATCTTAGGCTTTTTGGTCTGTTCTGTTGTCTTTAACAACTCTGGAAGTCCTTTATGCTCACAATATAGGCACAGGCTGTATAACAACTGTTACATGTGCAACATAGTTGCTGAGGTTTTCCAGAGTTTCCTGGTTATTCTGTTAGTCTCTGATGTTAGTAGAATAATATCACTGATATCACTGCTGCCTCGTTTGCAGACACTTGTTAGAAAAAATAATCTACTTAGTCCCAGTGCATGTTTTACAAACTGGTATATTCAATACTTACAATTTCTAACAAGAACATGAGAAGATGAGGAAATAGGATAATACTGCCTCTACTTGAGAGTTCCTTTGGATAGCTTTTTTTGAGGAATGGGTAAGGAACCCACTGAGAGTGGATTTCAGCACAGTTCTTTAGTTTAACTCTGCTGGTACGTTGAATGCATAATGGGGAAAAAAATCATATTTCAAGTGAGGAGGTATCCGCTGCGCCAGTAGGATATGAAAAATATCTTCTAAATTGTAATTGGAGATGAAATATTAAAGGGGGCTGTCACATTGCAAGCCCTGACCAGTGCAGCAGTACTAAGGAACCAGCATTTTTGCCCCTAGAAATGAAGGCTTTTAGAAGCCATAACATGGAGTTCTTCTCATATCTATTAATCCTTCAGCTTGGTTTCAGTTCTGGAATGTTTTATTGCCTTTTAAATCATGCAAATCATCAGATCAATAACTGATTCCCTAATACATTTATATTGGAGACATCAGTAATTTATATCAATTTTTAAATGATTTTTTTAATTGGTGGTTTTAATTCTAAGTCCTTACCAAACCTCTTTAGTGTCTCCATTAAGAACAAAAGCATGTGATGCAACTTGAGTCCCACTGTCCTGTTGTGTAAGACGCATGCATAGATAACCTTGCATGCAGTTCTTTGGGGTATAATTAACTGACATGGAGTTCTAGACTCTGATGGAAAGCACACAACTCTTTCTCATTGCTGGGCCGTAATTATATTTCTGTAAAGAGATACAAGTGTCTGAAAGATGGTGGGATGTTAGATCTCCATCCATGTTTGTGATGAGGGCTTTTCATCCAACACTGGGAATTGGCCAGAGAGTGACAGTGATCCTCAGGAAATGCATGAGTACATCAAGGAAGTGGAATAATAGCTGCTATAACTTGTGGACAGGATGTTACTGTAAATGGGACTTACAGTATTTCTTTCAGCGCTGTTGTGGGTAAGCTGCCCCTTAATTCTGGATTGTCAGGCAGTTTGTTTCACATGAGGAAGGTGAAGTTGCACCATCTGCTGCTGAATCAACTAGCAGGAACGTGTTTGATGAATGCTGCTACAGTGCAAATGCAAACTCTGATTTTTTTTCAAACTTCAGTTAAAAACATTTACCTGAAAACAGCATTATGTTGCTGAAAGCTAACCCTCAGGTATGACTTGAGCAGCGATTAAACCTTCTTTACTTCAGGAACTGTGTTATGTTTCAGGTCAACATATCTCAGGCAGATATGCAGGCCATTGGAAATACGATCACTATGGTAACACAAGATGGCACCACTATCACAGTCCCTGCCCACGACGCCGTCATCTCTTCTGCAGGAACACATTCTGTAGCAATGGTTACAGCAGAAGGCACCGAAGGACAGCAGGTAAAAAATTACCCTGTGTACATAGGCAGTGTTCTTTTTGAGATGGTATAGGCACAAAAGTCATCACAGTATTCAACACCAGGCTGTGTCATTCCCATCAAAAGACTACAGTATGTTCTATCCCGTTAGTATCAGTAACAGGTTGTTTTAGAAACAGTAAAAACAAAAACAAACAAAAAAAATGCCCAGGTACCAATTTGATAATTCTCGTAGGTCTGCATAAAACAAGACATAGAAATGCTAAGCATTTCTCCTGGAGTCACACAGTAAACAAGTGGTAAAGCTAAACATAGAATCCAGTGTGAATTTATTGCTTAATATTATGGGATTGTAATCTGTTTTGCAGGGAGGAAGTAAGTATATGTTTGCAGTTTTGCTATTAATATACAGTAGTTAACTTTTTTAGTACAAATAGAGTGATACAGCTTTTACTATTTAAGTGAAAATACATCCCACTGTTCTAAAAATGTGCCATGTGAAAATGAATATATTTACTTCTCTGTATGAGTGTGTGCATGCCCTGTACGTGTAGATAATCATGGCCTTGCAGATACAGCTACTGAACTTCTGTGCTGTACTGAAGATACTTATGTTTTGAGGGCTAACAGATGACGCTGAGAAACAGTGATGTAACCTTTCTTAAACAATGATCCGCTCTGCAGGATAAAACTGTGCTCATGAAAAACCATAGCTTTGAACGTAACTTTTAAGTTTGAAGATTACAGTTGTATGAGGTGAATAGCAGTAATCTGGAACCATTCTCATTCTTTGGTCCTCAAGGTTGCCATCGTGGCTCAAGACTTAGCAGCGTTTCATAGCACCTCATCAGAAATTGGACATCAACAGCATGGGCACCATTTAGTGACCACAGAAGCGCGGCCCGTCACGTTGTTGGCTACGTCCAACGGAACACAAATTGCAGTACAGGTAAAGTGAAAAATGGTTTTTGGAGTGTTTCTTGCTTCTAGAGTTAGAAGTTCCTAGTAGTATAACAAAATCAGTCTAATCAGCTTGTCTCCCCTGAAAAAAAATAGCCAGTAACCATATAGTTTTGTATTTTAAAGAAGAATAATAAGCACTTGGTTTTCCAAATGTACTTGGAGTACTTAAAAATAAACAAATGAAAGGTTGGGGAGGGCTGAAGTTATGGACAGATGAATCTTCCACTGAAGAATGATGCATGTTCTGTCTGGGAGTCAGCAGGTCTTTTGTGGAAGAGTGTGTTCCTTCATCCTTCAGCATTCCATGTCAAGGTGATCAGCAATGCTACATTATCACAGTTGAATTGCTGTGAGCACGCCCATACAGACCAAATGACTAAAGTTGTGATTTGAACCCTGAAATGCTGATAGCAAAAAAGTGTGAACAGTCATATAGAAAAAGCAGTAATTGGAGATCTCTCTTTTTAGTTGCATCTACAAGATAATAATTTCCTCTCTACTGTAGAGCTGAACAGTGTCATGGAGACCATTTCTTTCTATAATCAGAATTCTGCAATAGGTTTACATTGTATATATTACATGCTGTTGTTCCATAGAGCTTATTTTCTCAGAAGAATTAAGGAAACTGGAAGTTTGTTTGGTTTGCCACATCTAAAATGTAATTTAGCGGCTACTGTAATTTCAGAAGCCTTATTTTAGCTTTGTTATGTCTGTCAAGTGAAATTATTATCTGTCTAAATTGTCTGAATTATTACATGTAATGAAATGTATTTACCATGCAGCAATTCTTTGAAGAAACGAAATTTGGTAAATACAAAGAATCTCAGTTAAATGTGCAATCAGAGCTACCTGCTACCTCCTGGTTTCCATGCTGTTATTGTAGATGACCCAGGTGGTGAACAGTGCTGATCACACTTATTTGTGCTCGCTACCCATCGGGATCTTTGCCTTTGGTTTCATCTTACAAATCTGTAAAGAAAAATTAATCTGTGTGAAATTTTAGATTGATTTATGTTTAAATGCATTTGTTTCAGCTTGGAGAACAACAGTCTCTGGAAGAAGCCATTAGAATAGCCTCCAGAATACAACAGGGTGAAACACCAGGAATTGATGATTAACTTCTAAAACTGCTACCAGAACAATAGAGTGAAAGGTATTTTATTTTCAAACAACAAAAGTCCATGCCAGCAGCAATCCACAAAAACTTTGAAGTTCCCCTCTCATCGATACTGTGTACACATTTTATGCAAGAGCAAAGAACGTTTTCTAAGCGTTGTGTACATAACCCTGGGAATGGACTGACATCATCTACTTCCAACTGTTGTACATTCAGGAAGATGGAATTAGGATTATCTAGTAAATTTCCTTGTTATCCTTTCATCAGATTTCAGACTGGTCTACAAGCAAGTTAAAAACAAAACAGAAGTACTGGAGTTAATTTCTAGTGTCATGTACAATAACAAAGGCATTACTGAATATTTGAAGTGTTGCAAAGACTATAACAAAATCACAGTTTCAAGAGCCCTTACAAGTTATAAAGAAGACAGAGCCTGTTCAGTTGTTTTCCATAAATGGAAAAGACGTGGATTTTGAGCCTACTGTAAACCTTCATACTTTGATTCGTTTCATACAGATTTGAATACTCTTTAGATTACCCACCCCATCTCATTCATTGTAAATACAGATTGTTAATGCTGGAAGTGCTAATTGTATTATCTTTAAATTGGATTGTGTACAAAGGAGAAACTTTGGTTGTTCAATATTAAAATAAGTAAATCTAATGATTTCGTTTCTTTACATATTTTACTTAAGATGTTACTCTGAAATTATTATGCAATAAAAGATAACAAGATTGTATTATCTAGATAGGATGATGTTGTTCTGTGACATACTGTTTTACTTTTGGTGGGACAAGTGAAATTATTTATTTATGGCCTTGTATAATTTTTTTTCCAAAGTTTATTTATCATAAATCTCAATTTTTAACTTACTCATTTTGACCGCGGTCCACTGAAGTGTAAGAAGTAATCAGTGCTAAGAGTTATTTTCAGCATGCTGAAGCACTACAGAAATTGTTTAAAAGCATAATCAGTCAACTGATTTTGATTAAAAGTAAACTAGGAGTTTTCAAGAGGAATATGTTCAAACGGTGCATTTGGGGCATAAACACGTGTATTAACAGTCTGTTTTCAGCAGTTCTGAGTGCCTGCACTACTGTTTGTTACCTACGATGTGCTGATAAGCAGTGATTTTGAAAATCAGGACACAAGTTAGTAGGAAAAAAAAGGATTAATTAAAGATTATGTAAGTACAGTGCTCCTCTCCACCTGCCATTCTATAAAGGAAAAAAATTCATTGTAGATAAATCTAACACGGACTGTAAGATGTAACTTACAACTTTTTATACAGAAAAATGCCTTTAATTGTCTTGTTAGTAAGCTTGTTGAGCAAGTTAAACTTCCTTGGCTCCCTGTAAGATTCAGTGCTTGCTTTAGATGAATGTCGAGAACACTTCTGAAACTGAAGCCCCACCTTTATCCTTCTCAAGGAAAAGATTAAACATCTTGGGGGTAAAAAGTCAATCGAGTTATCATTTTCTATGTCTTGTGAGGGGCTTGTTTTGCATTTAAAAAAAAAAAAGTTAATAACTATGTGCTTGGAGGTATTTGACATCAAAAAGGCCACGCTGAATATAATGTGATTGACTACATCGATACGGGTTGCAGCTTTTTATGCTTTTCATACAGATGGCCAACTGCAAAATGCTGCGAGAGAACACAGTGCTGTGGGATAAAGGTGGTCAAAACAGACCTTCAACAGAGCTGTTAGGAAACAAAACTTGAAAACGTTCAGGTTGTCTGCAACCTTCCTGTAGGATTGAGGCTGTTTACTTACTTAGGTGCCAGATTTCCTGAAATTTTGAGTAATTTTGATGTCCCATGGAGATAAGCTGTACTATGCAAAGAGGTTAATTACATGTCAACTAGATCAGTTTCTTAGTTTTTACGACCTTTTAGAAATTAAAGATGTATCATTTGACATGAAAGTTCAAGTTTTTTTCTTAAATTTCATTGCTAATAGTTTTTGGAAACACTGGCTGGAAGTGACTGAACGAAGAAATAACAGTGCCTCTCATTTCCCAGGACACTTTCTGACCACTGTACAAATGTGAGTATTGCTTCTCCCTTCATAGTAGTTAGTTTCCTGCTAGGTATTAAAAACATTGATAAGGAAGCTTGATAAGCTTGATAAGGAAAAGCTGCAAAATATTTAGGTAATGTTTCTTGTATCTTACCAGTTGTTCTTGCAAAACACCCACCAATCAAAGGTTGTGCTTCCCCCATAGCTACCCCTATAAAGGAACACATACTTAAATACCGAATAAACAAGGCAGACTGACTTAGACTGTTTAGTCTTGAAAGAGAAGCAGAGATGATTACATGCATTTTCACTGGGAGTATGTATGTGTAACAGACTTGTTTTCAGAATGGAGAGTCCTCTGCGATTTTCTGCTGGTTTCCCAGGACTTGGAAGGGAACCTTCTTGTGAGCATGCATCACCACTGGAAGGTTCTGCAGTGGAGATCACACAAGTTGAAAGTGGGTGAGGAAGGGATCTTGGTGAAAAGGATTCCAGGAGGAGGCAGCAAAGAACATGCCCAGAAGGGCTGGGTGTGAGGCAGTAGAAATCTCTTAGTTTTGCCATAGATTTTACTTCTCTTTTTGAATGTTCTGTTTCAAAGGGAGCACTGGGAGAAGGAATTGTAAAAGAGGGATCCTATGAAGTAGAACAGCCCTTCCTCTTAGAAACTGGCTCCCACATTTCCAGCGTTCCCAGTCACAGTTTTCTTTCAGACTTGAATTTCAGCCCTAACTCCTTCCTTACAGGAAAAAAACAAGCCATCTCTAGACTTGGCAGTCAGCACTGGGGGATTTGCTTTTCTTTACAGTAGTTCAGTGCCTCTCCAGATAGTAAAAACAGAGAGGCAATTATTAGAGGTGCTCCAGGCTGATGACCTTTTGTGCCAGAGGCATTGTGCATAACAATGGGACAGTTTTTACCCTAAAGAGCTTAATGCCAAAGCACACATGAATAGGCTGAAGCTGCAAGACTGTGTTTTTAGAAGAGTAAATCCTGCAGCCTGACAACAAAGTTGTAGAAAGCCATAATCCCTGATAGTATAAGTAATCTCAGCGACCAGTCAGCTGACTGATACCAGAGATATTCAGGCACTCTATGGCAGGAACAAGGACATGTGATGTCTGCCTAGCACACAACAGAAGGAGAAAGCTAATAGTCCAGATAAACAGAATGTAGGAGCTTGGAGGGCAGCTTTTCCTGAACTTTACTCTAGCTCCTAACCTTCATTAAACTGTGGGGATGTTCTGGCTTCCCTGACTGTCATGTTGTAGTAGAGTACTGAAAAATCCCTGTGTGCTCCATGCTTCTCAGGAGGCAGAGCTGAGAAGCTTTAATCAGTTTCAACCACTAGGAAAAGACAGCAGAGCAAGGATGTAAAGACCTGTTTGAACCCAGCAACTTAACAGCTGCATACCTTAGGGTGACCACAGCTCCAGCTGAACCAGAATGCATAAGTGCCCTATGATGAACCCATCGCAGTCACTTAGTTTGTCTTTGAAGGGTAGCAATAAGATGTGCAGCACAGATTTCAGCAGTTTTCATGTATAGCACAAGTGAAAGTAAGAATAGGGCAGGCAGGAAAATTATTTCTGAAGGGGCAAGCTCTGAATTTCTAGAGAAATGGAAAACCAGAAATGAAGGGTACCTTGTATTCTATGCAGCTATTTACAGTTGTTTGAGACTTCAGAAATATACTATTTCACTCTTTCTCATTTCTTTCTCAAAAATATACCAGAATTAACACGTGCCTTGTCTGCACAGATGCAAATGCATGAATTCATTTCCAGCATGAATTCAGACCCCAGCTCACTGTTGATAATAATGTACTCCTATTTTTGCAAATCAGTATGTATTTGAATTGTGGATCTTCCAAAAGTAAATTTTGCTCCATTGGATAAAAGCCTTCTGAAGTCTGAACCTATATGACAGGAGACCAAAAGCCTGTCTTGGTTACTGTGCCTTAAACAGTAAACTATGCTCCATAAAATAAGTTGTATAGATCTGCATTTTTTGTTGTCGTGTTGTGTATTTGAAATGTAGCTTAGGTGTTTTCAGTAGTTTTGATGATCCTTTGATGTTCCTTTGATGTTCCTTTGCCAGCAAAGTTCACGCGGCCAAAGGAATATCTGACAGTGCAATTAGACTATCACCTTTAACAGTAATTGGCTGGCACCTGACCCCACTGTTACAGTGATAGCAGACCTTTCCAACTGAAGAGCTATATTCAAAGCAGACTTAATTATCCCAACAAGCATACAAGCTTATATCAACAAGGAAGCATTTTGTCCTGCATAGTCTGTGTGTTTTTCTCTAATGGAAACGTGACCCTCTGAGCTCCCACCCAGCTCAGGTTTTGAAGAACTAAGAGACTCTGTCTGGATTCATTTTGTTCTGTTTCAATTATTTGAAGCATTTTACTCAGAAGAATGACAAAACTTTGATACTTTTTGAGCACAAATGATTGCATGGGAAAAAAAAAAAAAGGTCCTAGTAAGTTTTTGCCTGCTTGTCTGCATCTGTAAGAAACGCTTGCAAGATATCTTACATGAAATGATACATACAAGAGATTATTAAAATAAGTTGCAGTAAATTCAAGAGAAGGCAGAGTACTTTTATGATTTTCTATGTTTCCTGGAGGGAAAAAGACAAAGGTTAGAGATGCCAGGGAGCTAGCAGTGACTTTTGTTTATGTGCATGGGACATTCTGAGGCTTTTAATCTTGTATTACGATGATTTTAACTTCACTTTGACCCAGGAGAGGGGCATTCTCATTGTACCTGCTGTTGTCAGCCATGGCAATCATTCTCTCTTCAAACTACAAGAGCGTAGTACAGCACTCTGCACATTTCAAGAGAATTTCTGATCTGAATACAACTCACAGGATCAGATTGTTGTGCTGTTTTCTTTGTAACCAGAGGCAGAAATGCATGCAGAAAGGGTGCCATTAAGGCCTGATGAAGAGTGTATGCTTTCACTGTTATAGACAAATATTGAGGAACTGTGCCTGAACTGCTTGGCAAAATCTGTGTTGCTTTTTTTTTTTTTTTAATATAACTTCTTTCTGAGTATTTTCAGATCATTTCATTTGAATTCCTTTATTTTGGGCCTAGAGTTTCTTCTTTGATAAGCTGTCAAATTCCCCTTTCTGTTGTCCACCTCCATCTCTTGCTCTTGCATTCACCCAGGCGGTTCAATTAACATCACTGAGAAATGCTTTATCTGCATGAGAAGTATGGGCTAAAAAGTAAAAGGTCTGGCAGCATCAAGTACAAGCTGCTGTAGAGTTTCTAATTTTCATAGAAGCAACCTGACCTCCCTTTTCTTTGGCTTTTTCACTTTGTTTATCCTTCTCATAAAATGAACCAGTTTCAAGATTATGCTGGCTGCTCTACAGTGGGTTTCATCCTGTTTTTGGCAGAACTCTTCCAATTTGATCACAGTGGTTTTGGGGGGCTGCAGACGAACTTGTAAGTGGAGGAAATCCTGGCAAGTAGGCACTGTACTCCCTTCTGTGGCAGTTTCCTCTGACAGCTAGACAAATTGGCCATTGTTTCACTTCTTTCCCATTCATCATTGTTTGGGTTGTCCTGCTACCCACGAAGGAGAGAACTGTTTCCCTTTGAGCTTGAAAACTCCTAGTTAAAAGCTGTTGGTTACCAGTGAGTGTGCTGCCCCAGATAAGCATTTCTGGTAGCAGAAATCTTGAGTGCACAGGACTGATAGATACTTTTTCATTCAAAAGCAAGTAGTTTTAAAAAAATGGCAAGTGTATTTTGAAAATAAATTGCATTCATAGACATTGCACTATTGCTAGGTAAGTGCTGCCTGGACATCAGGTGTACATTAGGTGGACATCTATTCATGGGATCAGATCTTTATTTAGCATGATCTATAGAAGCTCAAAGGTGCAATTTAATGAACTTCAGAGAATTAGGGCTGAATTTGGCTCCAAGAGTATAGTGCAGTAGAAGACCACCTCTGTTCCCTGCTCACTTCTTTCTGTGCCAACCTCTTCTGCTAATGTACTCCCTATGGAAACGGACTCTGTAGTGTTGTTTTAGGCTATTGATAGGCCTGGTAATGTTAGTCCTTGTTCATGGTGGGCAGGGTAGCTGAGTGACCATACTCATGCTTGAGGAGAATCAACTTTTCTTCAATACAACTATTGATAGTCCCTTCAAAATACAGCAGAAACACAGCTCGTGCAGATTCAGGATGGCACATAGGCAGAAGCTTTGAATTACGTGGTCCTTTTACAGCAGCTACACATTCTGTTAATAGTTGCACGTTTATTCAATACTTCCTTTTCTTCTCTGCTGTCAGTTTGGAAATAAACTTTCTTTCTAAACAATTGGGTTTATTTTGTTCATTTTTTTCACCATTCCTTTTTTCCACTTGCATTTTTCTCTTCATGTTCTTTAGAACTATTTCCTCTTCTTCACAAACTCATCCTTGTTCCACTTGATGTTGTCCTATTTAAGCTGTTATATTGATCAGCAGTAAAGTGGTTACTCTGTAGGGGCTTCTGAAGTTCCTTTTGCCACTTACCCTCATTCAATAGCTGTGTCTGTAGACTCCAGAAAGCAGTGCAGCAATATTTAGGCTGTTTGGGAAGGAAACTGCAGCTTTTACTTTCTTGCCCTCCTTCTCCCCCCCCCCCCCTTTTTTTTTTTTTCAGGGGGAGAGAGAGAGAAAAGGGGCAGTTTTTTAATTGAAAGCTTGTTCTTTAACCTTTTATAAAGAAAACTTAATGTATGAATGAAGCAAGCCACAGTTTTGGATCCTTTATAAGAAACTACTTTTCATCTTCTCCTGTGGACCACTGATCAAGATGAAAGCTGTATTTTTTAAAGGTCTTTTTGTATTCCAGCTATCTTGAAACTCAAATACTTGAGTTGGTATCTGCTATGCAGTGCATTCATGTTCTGAATGGGACATTATTGTAGTTCTGAATTATTGCAAGGCAAGTGTTTGTACAGCACTTGCCTTGGTGTAGCCATGTCTGTGTAAACGATACCCAGTTCTTTTTATATAGGTTACGTTGTTTGCCTTCAGTTTTCAGAAATTAGTTTCCAGGTTTCTGTAATCTCAGAAATTGTGTTCTTGTAGATTGTCACAGGTTGCCTGAAAACAAAGAAGTACCTTCAGCTTTCAGGGGATCAGAAGTGTGAGCAGTGCATGGGATATGATGCTGAAGTGGAAATGTTCCTCCAGCAGAAAAACTAACGGCCTTTGTTCCTTGAGATGATGGTGGAGCTCTAAGCAACCCCACCTCACTGTGCATCAGCTGGGAGTGCGGTGAGGTACTGAGTCATGTCAATGGCCAACACGTTCAGCCAAATTAATTTAAAGCGCTCTATGCTTGTCCCAAGAGTCCCAAGGGCTCTGCTCCTGCACATCAGGCACCAGCAGTTCTCAAAGAGAACACGTCAGAGTGCTAACTTTGCTTTTATTAACCGCGTGTTGCACAGTGCAGGGCTGCACTCGCAGGCAGCACACAGTCAGCGGCCGCTCGTCCGATCCCAGCGGCTGCGACCCGCGGGCCCTTTAAAAGCTCCCGTGCGAGCTGCCGGTGACCGCATGGTGCCGCGTGCGACTTCCCTGTTCCTGCCAGCAAATAAACGGCACGGAGCTCGTTGGCTGAAGCGCGCTGAACGCTCATTTTCTGTTTTAGCTACAGAACAGCGCCCTGGACTAGCTGAAGTGCGGCGTGGAAATGAGACTTCGGAGCGTTGCCGTGCCGAGGAGCAAAGAGCTCGCCGTGAGGCGGGTCCTTTCAGAGCCCGAGGCGGCGTGGCACGGCACACTCGAGCTCCCCGCCCGCTCTCCGGGCGGTTCCGGTCGGGCCCGGCCCTGAAGCGCTGCTGCCGTGTGGGGCCGCGCCCCGCGGCTAAGATGGCGCCGGGCCGCAGAGCTCGGACGTGTCCGTGCGGCCGCCTCGGGGCGCGTGTCGGGTAGCGGCCCCGCCCCCACCCAACCGCCCGGCGGAGGCTCGAGCGCGCGGCCGCGGCCCGGCCCCGGCCCCGCCCCCCTCCTCTCTCCTCGTTCGCGCCAAAGCGTTCCGTGACGCGAGCGCGTGGAGCTCCGTCCCCGCCCTCCGTGTTTTCAAACGGAGGGGCGGGCGCGATTGGCTGGCGTGCGCGCCACGTGACTAACGGTCGCGGGAAAGCCGCGGAGTCCGAACAGCGCGAGGTGCGCCGTGCCCGCGGGCAGCGTCGCGCGGAGCAGCCGGTACCGCGCCCAGGGCGGAGCAGGGCTGAGGCGTCGGTGCGGCTCGGTCGGCCGTGAGCGGGGCTCGCCGAGCGGCGGGCCACCATGAGTTTCCTCAGCCTGCAGCCGACGGCGCCGCCGCGGCGGGTCTCGGCCCGACGGGCGGCCGCCCCGATCCGGCAGAAGCTGCTGTTCCACAGCGGGCACAGCGACTGCGAGGAGGAGGATGAAGACGAGGAGGAGGAGGAGGGCGGCAGCAGCGGCAACAGCACGGGCGAGGACTCGGCCTTCCAGGAGGCGGACTCGCCGCTCTCGGCGGCCCGCACCCCGGCGCGGGGCGGCCCGCCCCTGCTGGAGGAGGAGGAGGAGGAGGAGATGATGGAGCCCGCGGCCGCGCCGCTGCCGGACGAAGGGGACTCGTGGGAGGAGGAGGGCTTCGGCTCCTCGCCCGTCAAGTCGCCCGGCGCCTACTTCATGGCCGGCTCGCCTTCGCCGCCGCCGCCCCACAAGGGTCGCCGCTCCGGCGCGCGCTCCCCCCCGCATCCGGCGGTGGGCGGCTGCCGCCTGCGTGGCGACGAGCCCGGCTCGCCGCTGCCCGACTACCCCGGCACGCCGCCGCACAAGACGTTCCGCAAACTGCGGCTCTTCGACACGCCGCACACACCGAAGGTGAGCCAGCGAAGGAGCGGGCGGGGCGGCCGTTACCGGGCGGGTGGAGGGGGGGGGGGGGGAGGCGGCGCCCCTCGCGTCCGACGGTTGGAGCGCGAGGCCAGGCGCGGCCGTACGGTGACG